TCAGGAATGCAGCTATTACTGTCATTAATATATTCGATATTAAAATCGAAAATACTTAAAATAGATTGTCATTTGACAAAAATTTATTTACTAGCAATATTTTGTACATATTTTTTTAAAACATATTTTGCTGATTTGTAATCGACTCTTACTAACAATTAGATGTGGCATGATTGGTTTTTCCATATATGTGACATTCTTTTGCTTGTGAGTCAGTTGTTGCCATACTTTCTTTGACATCCTCTTGGTTTTGAGAAAGAGCAATGTTATATGGACTTAAAAAATAGACTTAAAAATTAGACTTGATAATCTCAACCATTGATTTTACTGTGGGTCTCAGCATTTATTGGAACCTATTACCTATTCAATGATTGAGATTATCAAATCTAATTTTTAAGTCTAACATTTTAAATCCATCTAGCATTATTCTTTAAGGGTCTTTCCACCATAGGTTTGGTTTTGAGGAGTTTGAACAAACCCACGACCTTTGGAATTGAAAAACACAGATTTTCCTTTGTTTTTGGAAGTACTGTTATTTCCACTGCGACTATATGGCTGTTTCTGTGCAACAAAAGCTTGAAACTCATTGAGTTCTTCACTTACTAGGTATAGTCTGTTTCTTGTTTCATACCCTGTTAAGGAATGGACATATTGCGAGAAGGAAAGGGAAATGGGGTTTTGCCATGATAATGTTGAGAAGTGGGCCGAATTTGGCCCATGCTAGAGATATCACACCTTGTCAGAATCGGATAGGTTTTTTTTATAGCAGCAAGTTCATCACATATTTGTTTGAACCTAGACAGAAAATCAGACACAGACTCGTTAATCTCTTTACGAATTCTTTGAAGATTTCGGTAGAGATTAAATTCTCTTTCTTCTGACGTTGAAGGAAAGCTTTGCTCCAAAAAGGACCATACTTCGATAGATGTTTCCATACCAATGATATGGATGAGGATACTCTCTATAACGGTGCCAAAAATCTTACTTTTCAGCACCCGATCGATTTCTCTCCAAGCAATAAAAAATGGGTTGGGTTTGTCCTTCGCTTCAGCAGTCATAACAGTGGGTTTTGGAAGTTGAGACTCACCATTCAGGTGATCAAAGAGATTAGCTCCTATGACTAGATCAAGGGCTTGACTCCTCCAAATCAAGTAATTTTTGGCAGTGAGTTTTACACTCACCATGGCTGACAACTGAGGAAGAATTTCAAGAGTTAAAGAAGATATCATTTTTGAAGAGGTAGTGGAAGACTCTGATACCATGAAGATTTTAACAATAAGACTTAAACCTCTTCACTGAAACGATGAAAAGAGATGCAGAATTCTATTCATATATATATATATACACAGACACAGACACATACATAAATATATATATGAAAAGTGCACTAGAAAAGATAAGCTATACACTTGACAAGAACTTTGATAGACTCCATCATTGTAGTGATATATCTATGGTTAGTGATGAGACATTTTCATATACTCTAAGATGAAGAGACGTGTCCTCGGCATCAGTGAATTCTTGTTATTGTGATCACGACATGTACCCGTCGATTCACAAGTCCCTCTTCCCCCGAAGTACTGTTCATAGGGATCAATAACACCCAGTACGTTACGTACCGACACGTATCCCTCGGCCGGATATGGGGTACATCGGTCCCTACATGTACCAGTCCCTCGGTACGGAGATGTACCCGTCTAGGATGGCGTTCTCTGCTCCTGCAGAGGCTATTGATACAGGTCACTAGCCTAGATTAGGCTAGGTTAGCCATCATGACCTCGTCTTACACAATTGGTGTCAGAAGGCAGAAGACACAACCGAGATGCCCTTGCTGACACACGACTTGGGAAAACAAGCATTTAGTGCACCATTCCCTTGATGAGACATCATTTAATGCAGTAAGGCTCGGAAGTGAAAGGTAATAAATGTCCCTATGACTGGGCATTTATTACATCCTTGCCGAGAGAAACTCATTAAACATTCGGCAAGCCGATGACGCAGCATTGGTTGCTCGGGGTCCCGAGCAGTTAAAAGAGAAGACACTCCTCATAGGAATCAGTGTGCACGTTGCCCGTATTTAATGATCACCTACTGACCACACTGACAGTAATCATGAGTTTTTGAGGTATAAATACTCTTCACAAGAGGCAAGACGGTATGCAAGAAGAAACCTTTTCTCAAAAAAATACAGTGTTTTTTCCTTCCCCTCTCTCAAATAACTGACTTGATCGTCGAAGGGGATACGCCGAAAAACACTCTGGCGCCCTCCTAACTCTTTTTTCTTTGTTCCAGGAAGCTCCCTCAGCCTTACTGGACCGCTCCGTTGATCCACGAAAGTCACTCATTATCGTTTCAAGCCACCACTGGACCTCACAGACTGTTCCAAGTAGCAAGATTGACCATTCGATTGACTGACTCGAGTTCACCATGAGAGAGATCTGTTATCGTGTTTATATTATGCAAGATCCTGCACGCACACTTAGCCTTTATCTTTATTACCTGAGATATCTCTAGCATCATCATCCTTATCATGTGCCGAGATCATGTGCAGTATGTGTGAGACTAAGTGCGGCATGTGCTGCATCACGTGAACTGAAACCATGTGCTCTAATACACCCCACCCCACCACATCCCACCCTGAGCCGGCTAGCCACCCAAGCGGTTCCTGTAGGGCCCCGCTCACAATATTTTTTATATTTCAAAAATAAAATAAAATTTCTATCTCGAAATTATATAAATCAGATTAGAATTTTATACTACCATTACAGTTCAAGTCCAAAAAAACCTAGTAAGAGTGTAAGAACGTGAAAATAAATCTAAAATTAAATCCAAAAGGTCAACTAACAGTTGCATTTGAAAAAAAAAAAAAAATACCGTATTTGAAGTTGTTGCTTAGGCATCAAGATGTCTTGAGCTCCTCCTGGAGCACGTCTGTCTGTAACGCAATGACTATGATGAGTAGGATATTATATGTATAGTGTGGGATTAAGTAAGGTTCTAGGTTTATATCAAATTTAGGCTAGTAATAGTTCATTTCTCTATTGTGGTCAAATCAATATATTCTTAAAAAATGTATTTAAATATCAATCTAACTGATCTCATACGCAACGACATTATTTGTTTGAAAAATATAATACATCTAAGATTTTCGGAAAGTAAAATAATATATTGATTTGAACAAAAATACACAAGTATCAAAGGATGGAACTTGACAATCAAGAAAGAAAACAAACATCCATCTTTAGTTTGTAATTCTGTGGGAAGTATAGGCCTTGAGTCAGTACTTCCCCTAGAATCCCTTACCAAAATGGATGGAGGCAAAGGCTTGCAAGCTTCAATTCATAGCTGCAAGCAAGCTTCATATCCAGGACTTAATGGAGACATGTACTAGGCAGGTTCCATTGTAGCAAGGCCAAGGCATTTTGATGGCTACGCTTGAATTTCATGGTAAGGAGCCTCTTCCTAATAGTTTGTTTAACCATTTTGAAAAATATATGAAAATTAGTAGCCTTATTTCTAAAGATTCTAGTATTTCTTTTCTCCCATAGATGGTAAACAGTGATAGATATATTGATCTTCAGAATAATACTAGTCATCTTCTTCTTTTTCCACAGCTGAGCAACCCATTCAATTAACTCAAGCCATTGCTTTTGCTGTCATTGTTGATTGCTTTGAAGAAGAATGAAGTTCCAAACTCTAGAAGAGTAGTCACATTCAAAGAAGTGGTAGTTTTGAGTTTCATTTGCTCTTCTACGCAAGACACATTGAGTGTCAACTTGATTTGAGAAACTTGGACACTGTCTTTAATTAGTGGTCAATCTCATTTTTATGCTAACCATAGGATGAAGGCCATTCGAGATATTGACTGCCCAAACCACACCAATTTATACATAGAGACCATACCAGTTACATTCCTCTAGTGTTCACATGCAGCTTTAGCTGAGTATTTCCCATCAGTGGTAAGGGTCCGTGTCACAAAATCATTTTTGGTCTAATCAGGAAGGAAGATTGGCATGTTGGTGAAAATATCCCGCACACTCAATTGAGTAGTTGTAGCTCTGGTTCACTGATTGTTGGCTATAACATTAATGACTCTTGCTTCCTTTGGAATTCTTGCTTGGTGCACTAATTTTTTTATTTTTTTGATAAACAGAACCGCTCTAAAACTTACACTTAAAAGTGTAAGAGGTAAAGGGCCTTATACACATACACACAACCCTAAGACTATCTGATGTGGGATAGCCCTAGTTCCCTGGTGAACAACTAGCACCAATTTTTTTTGGAAGACTGGGCCCATATATAGACACGTGGGGCAGAAACACGCACACAAGTTTCTATTTTTTCTTCTTTTTTTTTATAAACAGAATTACTCTAAAATTTATACTTAAAAGTGGGATAGCCGCCTTGTTGCACTAACCTTTCTAATGTACAAGTTGGGTTAATTAGAGATGACTAGGCACGCTAGACCAATGGGTGTTTCTTTTTACATTCGGTTTTGTCCTTTATGAGATGTAGACCGGGATAAGAAAAGTCTGCCATTCTTTCACTTAGACTTCCAACATGCAGACCGCATGAAAAAGTTGAAGGTATCAATTCATAAAATAACCTACTCCTTGGCATTGCAGCCCACCCTCTCCCGGGTATCATTCTATGAATATAACTATATATGTGTACCTAATTAAACATGTGTACCCCAATGGATAAATAGGTTTTACATTTACCTTGTAGTATACTTTTCCCTTCTTGTTCTCTCTCCCCCTTCAACGTCAAGAACTCAGCTGCCCCTCTCTCTTTCTCCGAGAATATAATTGGGAGGAAAAATACCTAACTAACTATCTACTTGTACGGTGTCAAGTTGTTAACCCTAACGAGTGCCTTAATCTAATTTCTACAATTTAGTTCCTTTTACTTCTTCTTCTTCTTTTTTTTTTTCAGACTGTGTAGTTGATAAGATATATATTTTTTAATCTAATAATAATAAAAATAATAATATTAACAATAATAATAATAATAATTAGAACCGCCATTATACTAACCACATGACTTCACAATTTGCTGTCACATAGGAGTCTCTAGCTCAGCAGTACAACTCAGCAAAGAATCAATCATACTAACAAGCTATTTTATTAATACACCTAATAATATTATCCTTCTCCATCTTTAGCTGCTACAGCTGACCCATCCTTTGATTCTTCAGCTGATGCAGCTGATGTATGCTGCATTATTTGAGTTTAAGTCAACGAAGATGCCCTTAGTCCCATCTGGGTTCGCTTTGGCATTTACTCGGGCCTCTGGTAACTCGGAATTCATGTTACTGCCAGATCTACAACCTGGCTTGGCTTTAATGGCTGTAGGGTCTGTGGTTCAGATGTGGTGGTAAAGCAAGGTAAGGGGAGGGGGTAAAGAGGGGTTTTGGATCTGTGAGACTCGTGGTGGTTTAGCTGGGGCCTGGGAAGTGAAGTCATGGGGGTTGAGGGCGGACAGACATGGCTTCGGTTCTTTCACGAGCTCAGATGTGATCTGTTAATCAATCTACCAGACATCTAAGTTATACAAGCAAAAAGATTAATTCACTAAGAAGAAACGCATGGAGGCGACACCATCATCGCCGGAGGTGGATAAAGGAAGCTCTGAGCTCGAGAGTGTGCTATCGGACACCGAATTACCTTACTTGAGACGTTTCCAATTGGCCTCATGGATCGAACTTAAGCTTATGTTTAGACTTGCTGCGCCGGCAGTGGCGGTTTATTTGATCAACACCACCTTGTCCATGTCAACTCGGATCTTCTCCGGCCATCTTGGCACCCTTGAGCTCGCCGCTGCCACTCTTGGAAGCCTCATCCAATTGTTTTCTTACGGCCTCATGGTACCCCTCTCTCTCACTCTATTATGATTTGTGTGCGACAACATAAAAATTAGAAGATGAATACACAAATTTTACGTAATTCGATAATTTGTTTATGACTGTGAGAGAGTGGCTGCCTTATTTTTTATTTCACACTAAAAACAAGGTTATAACTTAATATATATAAGTTATGACAATAATTAGGGCAAAGAGTAATGTTAGATTGACCAAATTTAAAGTTCAAATGACATGACATCATATTATTTAGAGTTTTTATTGGAGTTTAAATAACATGACATCAAAAAAAAAGTTTAATTCAGCTGCCATGTCATTTGAGCTCTAAATTTGATCTCAAATTTTGGTCAATGTAGCATTACTGTTAGGGCAAATCCCAAAGGCACGACTCTCCTTCTCCATATCTGGTACCTCTCCATATATTGTATCGAATATGAATCACCTATTCTAATATACTCTTTCTCATAGTCAATATAACGACAAAGAGATTTCTAATTTCATGATCGAATTTCATGGACTATATCACAACTCATTGGTTGTTGCAGCTTGGAATGGGTAGTGCATTGGAGACTTTATGTGGCCAAGCTTATGGAGCCCATAAGCATGAAATGCTTGGAATCTATCTCCAAAGAGCAATGATTGTTCTCACTTTGACCAGCTTCCCACTCATCATATTCTACGTCTTCTCCAAGCAAATCCTACTCTTACTCGGCGAACCAACGGCGGTGGCGTCGGCATCAGCAGTTTTTGTCTACGGCATCATCCCACAGATATTTGCCTACGCGATCAACTTCCCCGTACAAAAATTCTTACAAGCACAAAGCATTGTGGGCCCAAGTGCCTATATTTCATTGGCTACGCTTGTGGTGCACCTATTATTAAGTTGGATTGTCGTTTATCGGGTTGGGTTTGGATTGATAGGTGCATCACTGGTGTTGAGCTTGTCTTGGTGGATCATAGCATTGGCCCAATTTTTATACATATTGTTGAGTGACACGTGTAAGGCCACGTGGACCGGGTTTCGATTAGAGGCTTTTTCTGGACTTTGGGAGTTCGTGAAACTATCAGCTGCATCAGCAGTGATGCTATGCTTGGAGGTATGGTACTTCCAGATACTGATTTTGATTTCAGGGTTGCTTAAAAACCCTGAGCTTGCCTTGGATTCCATCTCTGTATGGTGAGTACTAATTAAGTAAAGTTTTTTTCGTATTTTGATATAATTTACTAACATAATTTACCTCGGTCATTAAATTTATAACAAGTCTTAAAAATATTGAGATTTATTGTCAATTCAATGACAGAGACTAATTAGATTAATAAATTAAGTCAGTAAATCTTTCTTTACTTCTATCTTTATGCTTTCTTGGCCATGCATGGGTTGAAGAAGGATCACCATGCCACCACTCTAGACTTGTTTTTGTTCATGTTCCTTGATCATATGAGTCATCACGTACCCAAATCCTCTCAATTCCAAAGTTAAACGATTTGGATTGAGTTCAACTATTTATATATCGATACTATCAATCAAAATTTATTGTAGGATACGTTCGAAAATAATAAGAATCTAAAGTTAGAAAGGAGTGGGAGTTCGAAATAAAAGAACAATTAGGAATTTAGTTCAATGGTCAATATATTGATGACAAAGGCTACCACTGTTTGGTTCCTAAATTACTAAGGTCTTTTTTTTTTTCCCCCAAATATGCAATTTAAATTAATTTAATTTCAATCATACTTATTTCCTTCTTCTAGCATTTGAATATCAGAAAATTTATCCCTGTACATGTGACTAATATGCACACAATAAGAGTCATTTGTATACCGAAACTGTTGCAAATTACCTTCTCATGGCCATTATGTATGAATCTCATAAATAAGTTTGAAACTGTTTGGGCGACCGCTAACTTTAGGTTTTATTTGAAGAGAAATAGTCGAATATGTGATTTATAAAACACTAGTAAATTAGCAAAATGGTCCATCCCAACTTGTCAATGCTATAACAACTACTATTTACTTATTGTTTGATATTGATCTTTGAAATAATTCTACTGTTTAATTTTATCGTTTTCGGATATAAGAACGAAGAACATTGTTACTTATCGTTTGATGTTGATCCTTGAAACAATGTTGTTGATCGCGTGCAGCTCATCAATAAACTCGCTGTTGTTCATGATTTCAGTTGGGTTCAATGCAGCTGCTAGGTCAGTTCTAACTTCTCATGATCTTTTTTATCAGTCATAATTTTTTATGAACCTTGTAATAACCTTTTATGGGTAAATGAATTGAAAAAAAAAAATGCAGTGTAGTTGTTTAATACCTGCCTTAAGGCTATACCGAGTGTGCTCTCAAGAGAATTGCTCACGATACATATTATTCTTATTCTGGAAGATAGAAATTAGTCTCACAATCCAAGAGACTATGTTGAATTCAGGTACATACAAAAATGTTAAGAGCAAAACAAGAAGCTAAGGTATCCCTTCCTTGTTTCTTATTTTCAGTATTCGATATTTGGGACTTCCCAAGCTTCTTTTCCATTTTCTACTGCACTCTATTCCTTCCCTTTGCATTCCTTTACGCTTGTTGGCGTCCTTCTTTTTCTTCCACGTTTTTGGAAGAAAGAGTTTTTGGGGACAAAGTACATCTTGAAGAGGGATGACGAAAGAGTTCGCATTTGTTGCATTTACGAGGTTTCCATGGAGCAATTACCTTAATTTAATGAAACATAAACAACAATTTTTCTAACCATTTTAAGTCTTTTGTTTTCATACTATAATGTAAATGTGAAACAACATTTGACAACAGTGTGAGGGTTGGCAATGAGCTTGGAGCAGGAAACCCTAAGTCTGCAGCATTCTCGATTTTCATGGTGAATCTTGTTTCCTTCATTATAGCCGTGGTGGAAGCCATAATTGTTCTATCCTTTCGCCATGTTATTAGCTATGCCTTCACCGGCAGTGAAGTCGTGGCCATCGCCGTGTCCGAGCTCTGTCCATTCTTGGCAGTCACTCTCATTCTCAATGGAATCCAACCAGTCTTGTCCGGTAAGGGCTTCTCAACGACTTTACCGTGATGCATGGAGAAATAAACTTTATCAACATCGATGTAACGACCTTATTGATATCACCTTACGGCTGTTATAAGTTTTTATACTTAATCCCCAATAAATACACTCTAAGTTATTGTAGTCCGAGTTGCAATCGCTTTAATTTGGTCCTTAAAATAATAAATTTAAGTTTATGAGGTACCAAATCTAACATCGTCCAAATTTTTTGTGGGATTAGACTAGTTTATGCTAACGTAACCTTAATAGATGCCTTTCGTTTAGGCTCAGTAAGTGGTCTAATTCCATCAGAAATTAGGATGATGTTAGATTTGGGGGACTTGGAATCACATAAACTCCTCAAAAGGACAAATTTTGACACAGTATTTTTTTTTTTTACATTGCATAATAATCCATTACTCACCACGTTTCAGAGCAGCAAAAACTTTTTGTTTCTAAACTCTCACTCTATTTTTAAGCATGCTCATATAATTTAAACCTCGTTCATAAATTGAAGGTGTGGCTGTTGGGTGTGGATGGCAAACATTCGTTGCATACGTAAATGTGGGTTGTTACTATGTGGTAGGAATTCCACTGGGTTGTCTCCTTGGCTTTAAGTTCGACCTTGGTGCTAAGGTTTGTATTTCAAACAATAATTTTCCGGTATCGTAAGACTACCCTGGTAAGCAAGAAACCACTTTAATATGGATGAAATTATTGGATAACTACAATTTCAGGGCATATGGTCGGGGATAATTGGAGGAACCATGATGCAAACCATCATTTTACTCTGGGTGACATTTCGTGCGGACTGGCATAAAGAGGTATCCATCACACTCACCAAGTAAACGAGTTTAACAAGAATTTGATTTTTAAATGATGTAAACCCCTTGTAATCACCCAGTTATACACAACTATAAAAAGGTCATGTCGAAGTAGAACCACCTTTAAACCACACAGCTCATACGACTTAACACCTAGCACAACGCGATTCATCACCAATCCTACTCTTAACAACACTTTGTCCTTGGCAGCTTCAAGTTACCATCACTGTCTCAGACCCAATGCTCAAGATCACCATTTTTTTTTATCTTTCACATTCCAAACACCTATCAACTGATTGAATTGCCCAATTTTCAGGTGGAGAAAGCTAGGAATCGTTTGGACAAATGGGAGTTGATGCAGGGAAGCACAGGCTTAGAGTAGGAATTTAAACCGGTATCTGTGCGCAAATCAAAAGATAATTTTCGTTATCCCTTTTCGTTCATAATACCATTATTTTTTGTGTAAACCATCCGATATCCGGCAACTATGATGGACTCCGTCTAATTCGGATTCAAGCTGGGTAAGACTACAAGGGTGGCAAAGTTCTCCTTACCGAGTATTTAAATGCAACTACATTCCTAAAATCTCGAACCGAGGGCTTTAGTTAAGTTAGAACAACTCCAAACCAGTTAATCTACACACTTGATGGTATAATACTATTATTTTTACCCGCTTCCCTTAATCAGGAATGATGGTGGTAAAGAAAGCATTACAACGGCTTACACGTTCGGCATACCTGTGAGGGCTTCACCGATCCCACCACAACGCCTCGAGTAATGACATGCTGTGACATGTACAGTCTGATTGATCCTAGGAACATACATGGCTCCATAGCCACAATAAAGATGGAGTTTCTGAGTTTTTTTTCTAGCAATTGCAACATTGAATAATTAAGGCCAAAGTATCATGGACAAGACAAATTCACAAACTGCATGGTCAACCTACCTTTGATTACTCTATAGCTGACTAAGGAAATTGAGAAACTAAGAAGTTCAAAATACATACTTTCCAAAAATCTCTTAAAAAATCCACTCTCACCATCAAAATTTTCTATCTCGAATTTTACTGTAGTAATCTCAACATCAAAACTCAGATACCAGTTTATTATGAATTAAGGCTACAAATAAAATAATAATACAACGAAATAAAAAAATATAACACACAAGATTTACGTGATTCGGCTTAACAAGCAAGTCTACATCGACAAACGAAACACACACAACAACAAGATTTCAATATTAAATTTGAAAATTACAAAGTTCTTGAAATAAAGGTAAGAGAGAACATCACCACTCTATCACACAATTATAATATTAATGCTCCCCTAAAAATATTTTTTACACCAAATTTGGTTTTCGCGAAAAAGACCCAAAACAAAATAGATCAAGACCCCATTTCTAATCACTCATCCTTATTAGGGATGTCAGTGGACCGAAGCGGGTTGAGGGTATAGTCTTCATCCCCGTACCCGCTTAAAAAAACTTTGTTCATCCCTATTAACAGGGAATATTTTCATCTACATCCCTGTCCACGAGTAAATTTTTAATCTCCGCCCCCGTCCCCTCGTTCCCCATACCCATCGAAGCCCAAACCCAAACCCAAAACGAAGCCTAAGCTCAAGCCCAAATTCAAACCAACATAATCTAGAATTCTAAATAAATCCAACATTTAAAAACTTTGCAACATACTATCTATAATGGTTTACCAAGCATAAAAGGTTGTAAGAGTCCAAAAGTTTTTTAAGAAAACATCATCACATGCCTTCAGTGAAATGCATTTTGAAAAAGACTTATTAATGCTCTCTAGAACATTATATGAACACCACCAAAAAAAGGCATCCTGAATCCTGATACTTACATATATGGATGACCAGAATATTTTGTAGATGAGCTTGATCAAGTCTGTTACTTCTATTGAAGGATTGGCAATCTGAACAAGTCTATTAATTATACTAAGTAGATGCGGAAGTGTGTCCTCAACAATGAGATAAATTGGTGTTCTCTCCTCGTTTGACTTGAACCTATAAAAAGAAAACAAAAGAAGTTCAGTGACAGAATACAATAAGATAGCACGAGAGAAGATTTTTCATAGGAGTTCTTCACATCTAATAGAATTCTCAATCAGAGACAAGTCAATATCTTTCAAGCCAAACTTTGAGATTTAAAAGTTAATTAAAGTTTTCCACTATTATCAAATGCTATTTAGAGCTGATTCAAGCTATAAATATTGTTTCAAAAACCCAATGAGTCGCTGTGTTCACACTTGCTTTTCCAGGCACATTTTCGTCAAAGCAAAAGAACAAACCAGTGTTTTAAAATCTGGTCCGGCCCGGCGGGTCAATTTGGTGAACCGGTCCTCTAACCGGGCCGATTTTATTGAAAGATCGTTTATGTAAGGAACCCGAGATAAACCCATTGAATCAGTTAAAAATCAGTGAACTCGTGAGAACCGGACGGGTTTAGAAAATCGGTCGATTTAATTTCATTACTATAAATCTGAGATTTTTTATTCATTTGGGCATTTTGTATATTTTCCTTGCCCTAAATCGTTTAGACCAGACGACACAACACAATGGACTGAGCAAAGCCTCTCTCTCTCTCTCTCTCTCTCTCTCTCTCTCTCTCTCTCTCTCTCTCTCTCTCGATCCATCTAGTCGACTAGAGTTCTAGACTTCTTTGCCCTTAATCGAGCCATCCAGACCACTAGGCAACATCGACTGAGCACAGCTTCACAAGGCACTAGTGACTGAACATCAACTCCACTGGGCACCATCGACTGAGCACAGATCCACGAGGCACCAGCAACTGAGCTGCGACTCCAACCACTGAGCACAACCTCCAGTCCAGTCACGAGGTGAGTTCCCTCCCCCCTTCTCTCTCTTGCTCTCCACCTATATGTGTTTATATATATATGTTTCTGTATCTGTAATTTGTGTGAGTGAGAGTTCTGTAATATGGTGGTTCTTTGTTTTCTTGACACATATTATTCTTGGATTTTTTGCATCACATTGTACGACAATCAAAATGGATTTGTTCAAATTGTCTCTGTTTGATCAGTGTCATTGAATAATTTGTATTTGTTTGGCTCTGTTTGTTACAACAATCAAAATGTGTTTTGGTTCCTATTTCTGGAAATCTAATATTGTTGTATTATCAGTTTGAATATATTGAATTTGTATATATGGTTGATGATTTTTCTCTACTTAACTTTATATGTTTGATGTTATGTTTATAATTATTGTGATTTTTTAGCATATTTATTAATATTTATAATTATTTATTAATTTTTTATTATATTACCGGTCCGACCAGTGATCTAACGGTTGAACCAGTAACCCATTGATCCGGTTCCTTTGCCAGATTGACGTTCGGGCCGGGTTTTAAAACAATAGAACAAACACGCATGCGTCAGCCTATGATGCACCACTTAATTATAATTGAAAAGCAATCATTGCGACTCAAAATTAAGAAATTTAAAGGAGCCTCAGATATGAAACAATGATGCAGGAGAAATACTTCATTGGGATTGAATATATCAATGCTTGGAATGCTTTAACCTATATTTATTAGTAGTTGAACGGTATCTAAGATCTGAGAGAGAGAAAAGTGATACCAGATCTGAGAGAGAGAATGATCTGATATATATATATATAATGGGTATAGCGGGGACGGGACAGAAATAAGGGTAAGTTTATTCCCACACGGGTTTATACGGATATTTTTATATACGTCTACCGTCTAATACATATAATTTATCCCTGGTCTAAACAAGACAGGTTTGAACAAATACCCATCTTTCTCTAGTCCACTGCCATCCCTAGTCCTCGTCGTGGATAATGGCCAAAGACCACGTTGCTGCCTTGTACACCTTCCGGAGAAGAAGAACTCCTAAATGACTTGAAACTCGATCAGCAAAGTTCATGTTTGACTGAACTACCTTTTGCCAATTAGTAGTCAAATCAATATTCAACAAAAGTCCAAACCAATAAAGTATTAGAAAATCTTTATCCAAGCAAAAGGGGGCTCAACTATGCATAATAAAGCGTAAAAAAAAAGGCGGGCTCAATGATGCACAATAGGCCGCAGTAAAAAAAAGAAAGTAGATGATGAAAGAATTGACACAATTACCTTTTTTTTTGAAAGCTAGCAGCACTACTGATTGCTGAATCTATTTATGCAATAACATCAGTAATAAAGCGCTAGTTGCACCGCAATTATTGATAGTAACTCCTGACCCAATGCCAGTTGAAAATAGTACACTTTTAGGAATTGTTATAGGGAGCTAATGCCAAGCATCCTTTCAACAGATTCCCAATGAAAATCTCCAAACAAAAAATCCAATTAGACTCCGAATACAAGTTATCAATAACATAGGCTTATTTAATAAAATGTTTGTAGAGAAATTTCAATAGGTTAGGACTGAGGACTGGGGAAGGTTATGTAATTAACTCCTCTTGTATTTGCCATTTATACTTGAAAGCATAGTTTCATATGTATTTTTCCGCCTATTTTCAACTGATGCGTGGATTACAAAGAAGTGGCAGTTGAAAACTGCAAGGGCCTCTTTCACAAGGATTAATATTTCATTTTTTTTTTCTTGCATCGAAAGAGACGAAAGGTTGTGGTGTCCCACGTAAAGCGAGAAGAATTAGTTATTGAATATGAAAATTATTACACTTTGTGGTATTTCAGGAAATTTTAAAAACAAGATTTTATATTTTTTTTTATTTTTTAATTTTGAAATATTTTTGAAATACCTCCATTTTTCATCCGTAGAATATTTTTGATATTTTTTGCAAGACTTATCATGTGAGATCTTTTGTTGTTATTTTGTTGATATCCATCTTTGAGTGATTAAATACTAATATTTTTGAAAACCTCTTAGAATTGTTCTGGGGAAGATTATTATAAACTCATTATTTGGTCGGCGTTCGTGGATGTTCCCCAAGTTTTGGGGGGAACTACGTAAATTTTGTGTCTTTCTTGTGGTTGATTTTATTATTTGTTTTAATTGTTCGTTGATTGAGTTTGATATATCGCATATTTAATTGGCATAAAGAGGAGTAGAAAAATGAATTCTACTAATTTTGTGAGTTCACTCTATCATCATATTGAATGGGATAGATAGCATGACCAAAAAAAATAAAATGGGATAGATAGTCCAGGCCCTGCAAACCAATTAAGAGGCTCAATCCTAGTGTGTGATGGTGTATTAGTATATGTATGTATATTTTTTAGTATATATTTGTGTGTTTATTGTTGTATTAGTGTATGTATGTATATGTTTTAGTATATTAATTTACATATACGTGCGTTGCACATGAACTATTTTAAGTATAAAATAATATTACACTAAGACCGGTTTGTTGTGAAGTAAAAAATAATAATAATTAGAGTAATCAATTAAGTTTCCCTAGCTTAGCCAGGCTTTTGCAAGTAGCAATGCATATATTACAAATTAACCATAAAACCTAGAGTGTAAAACATTAAGACATAAAATGGGTGTTTCAAAAGCTGTAAGGCACAACCAAACCCCATGCCTCAAAGGCATAGAAAAGATAGACTTATCTCCTTGTTGAAACACAAAAAGTGAAAGCAGTGTAAATTTGATGGTTTTCCATTCATGTAAAGCAACTTGTTTTTTTGTCTCATGCAATAGAATAACAATGTATACATTCTAATACAGAAATTTAAAGCAAAAAAGTTAAGAATCTCCAAACCACAAAGTAGAAAACCTAGTGATAAGCAACCATTATGTACCAAATACTAGTGGGCTTCTATGGCATGCATATCCAGATTTTCATGAAACTTTATCTCCTACAACAATAAAATTATACAATGCAGAAACTAGGTTAGTTGCGATTAAAAACGAATTTTAATCGGCTCGAATTTAATTTTAATCAGCTCAAATTTTAATACACAAAAAAAATCATAAAACAGAGGAATTTCATTGAAGGTATGTCTATCAAGACTAGGGGTGAGTAAATTTTGTTCTAAAATATATCATGAACAATTTAGTAAAATTATATTGTAATTAAGTCCTTTAATTTGACAAGAGTGTCAGTAAAGATTTAAAAAATAAAAGATTGTTCTTAAAGATATAATAAATTAAAAAAAAAAAAGAAAAAAGGTGAACCAATTACGGAAGTTTGGTGATTAAAAACAGGTTGGATTAATTGGTGGACAGTAAAAAAAGGAACCTTTTCTGAATAATCGAGAAGAAGCTACTTGTAACTTGCCAATGCATCATCGAAACCAGCAGTTTGAACTTTTCGATGAGGCCAATATAGGCCCTGGTTGCTGTCAACAAACATTCGACCCACTTTAATAATTGTGTCCCTCGCCTCGTTGTCCCCATTTGCTTCATTTAATAGCAAATCAAAGATGTCCCACCAAGAGGAGTGTATGGCTTCCAATTTTTTTTCTAGGTATAAAGTAAAAATGAAATATTAAAGATGTGGTAATGGAAGCCATCTATATTTTTTTAACTATAAAAATGAGAACTATATGTTTTTGACTCATTTTTTGAAAAATAAATTAAAGGTAATAACACATCTTTGGAATCAAAATAAAAAAATATTTAACTGAAGTCTATTGTGTGAACAAGAGGATAACTCGGTGGATAAGGTTCATCTCACTTCGCATTAGACATGGACTCGAGTCTCATCCCTTTCCCCACAATGTAGTGTAAATTTTGTGGAATGAAAGAAAAAAAAATTTACCATCATAATTTGGTTAATTATTAATGTTTCAAAAACTTTTTTTTCTTGTGTTCTTGCAAAACTGCAGTGCATGGGTCATACAACAATTTAAGCTACCGGAGATGATACAAATTTAAATATTTATATTTTAACGCGCTACCTCTCATGCGGACAAGATTTTGAACCTAACATGTAAAAGTCTTTTAATATATTAGGATAGCTATGAGATTCGGACACAAGACCTACTGGTCTCATAACATATTAATCAACGATTTATTCCAAAAATTTAAGCTATTCGAAAAGGTATAGCTTAAAAAATAATGCTATTAGAATCTAATTTGTTGATCTAATGATGTGACTTCAATGAAATCATTAGATCAATACCAAATTTCAATGTTTGATGCGACCTACAATCAATCCAAAAGTCGTAATAAATTAGGTTAGCAAATTAAGTCAATAAATTAGGTCTCAATAGCATTACTCTAACTTAAATATTTGTAATTTAGCATATTTCCTCCTTAAATTTGAATAAATGACAATTAATTCTCTTAGAAAACAAAAAGACAGGTATTCAAAAAAATGAACAAATTTATGCTCCGTTTGGTTTGAAAGATAGAAAATAGGAAAGATGGAAGAGTAAGAAGGATACACTTTCTATCATTTAAGGAAGGAAAGTAAGAATAATACACTTTTTTTTCTTTTATTTGGTTGGATGGATGGAAAATAAAAATGACTAATTTTTTTTTTTTGTGTTGGCTAAGATTAGGGGTGACAATTAAGTCGTATCGTGTCAAATTTGTATTAAGTCATTATGGGGTTGTTCGAACATTAGTCATACATATTCAACTTATTTAACTAATTGTGTCATGTCGACTAACTAGTTGACATGTTTATTTTCTTGTCGTGTTCGTATTCGAGTTAATCAAATTTGTGTCATAAAATTTGTGTCGAGCTCGAGTCATGTCATCGTGTTAATTAAATATTTTTAACCCTAATTAAAAAGGAAAAAATATTTTTTTAATTTAAAATTTTTATTTTTAATTTTAAATTTTTAATTATTTTAATTTTAAATTTTTTTATAAAATATATATATAAATACATATTTTATTATTATATTTTTATATGAAATTAATGTATACATAATATATGTATAAATAAAAAAATATATCTATATAATAAAACAGGAATGTGTTTGAATTTTGTCTCAATCATATTTTCTCCTTCAAAACAATCATCAATTACTTATTTCACTCATCATCCTTTTATCAAACTTAAACGTCAAATCACATCACTTATTTCTATCATATGTTTAATCATTTATATATTCTTTTCTAAAAACATCACATCACTTATTTTTATCATATATTTAATCATTTAATATTTGATTAATTTGTAATTAATATATTTTAAAAAAAACTAATATAATAGGATCAATTTTTTGGACCTCTCGAATTTTATATATTATCGTGCCTTCAGGCACGAGTTATGGCTAGTAGACAAATAAAATACATTTTAACACAAATAATTAATTTTCAATCCACTTTCCGTCCGATTTTGGAAGGATTGATTTTTGTGAGTTAGAAGGAAAATAAATTCATCCACTTTTCTATCCTTCCTACTTTTCTTCCTTACCAAACATGATTTTTTATTTATTCTTCCAATTTTACATCATACTAAACGGAGTATTAAATAAACATCAAACAAAGTGTCTAAACTCTAAAGTGCCAATGCAACTTTGTGCGTACCTAAAACTCACATGCAAATTTTTTGAGATTAGGCTATAATAAAGTTATTTTTTATGAATATATTAATTTTTGCGTATCAAAAAAAAATTAATCAAAATACGTGCAAATCGATCCGAACACCACTAGTCATTGAACAAAAAAGACTCACAAGTGCATTTAATAGTAATGTGAACTAAAAAATTGAACTAATTTATTGATATGCAACGATAATATGGTCCAATCCAATTGTTATAACCATAACGCTTGAGATTTCTTATTGAAACTTCATTATTTGACACATGCTTACGTCTATAAATTACATCAATTTTTTAAATCCCAATAGCATTACCATCCACAAATGGGGATTTGATGCAAAGAAAGGTTACTGTGATAGTGTGTGGTTTATAACTCCCAACACTTGCTGTCAAAGGTCAATATTTACCCAAGGGCAAGAGCCACCGTAGAAAAGATAGAATGGAGTATTCTCGAGATGGTGGCCTCGACCAACCCATATTACAGGCCAACCCGGAGGAGCCAAACTCCGACCTCGAGGACGTACTATCCGACACAAATTTATCGCACTTCCAGCGTCTCCGGCGAGCTGGGATCCTAGAACTAAATACACTCTTCCGACTTGCAGGTCCGGCAGTTATTGTTTACTTGCTCAACAATGTTACCTCCATGTCCACCCAGATCTTCTGTGGCCATCTCGGCAATCTTGAACTTGCTGCTTCAGCTCTTGGCAACAATGGTGTCCAACTTTTTGCCTATGGTGTCATGGTATAGTAACCAACATCAAAATAGGTGTTAATAATTATTAGTGTGCATACATAAGTAGATGTACAAGTTTTTGTGAGCATGTATATACAGTTGCGTACTCTATATATAACCAAGGGAGAGATATAATTCCCTTTTTTCATTTCAATAACTCGTTTACATCTCACACGCCAATTGGATTTGAATCAATATCAGGCTGATTTCCATTTAATAGATCGGGAGAGGGTCTATCGTCCTACTTATCATAGTTCTCCTAAAATCAATAGTTTTTCATGGGAATACATCTTGTTTCAGTAACTTAGTATGATCTCTAATATACCAACTATCACAAAACTTTAAATTGCCCTACAGAAAAGTGGAAGAGAGAGAAAGAGGGAGAGAACATACGCTTTTATTGCCTTTTGAATCTTGTTTACAAGTCCTATGATATATTTGTGGAAGTAGATTCTTCTTTTTGATCAATCGAAACCCCTTTTGAAACAATAAACTTGCACATACGAATTCATATTTAATGAACACAACCACAAACAATCATAATTGATGTCTCTGCTATGGTTTCTACTTGCAGCTTGGAATGGGAAGTGCAGTTGAGACCTTGTGTGGCCAAGCATATGGAGCACAGAAATATGAAATGCTAGGCATATATCTTCAAAGATCAACAATCCTCCTCATGACAACTGGGTTAATCCTTATGATCCTCTACATATTCTCCAAGCCCTTCATGATCTTACTAGGCCAATCACCCTCAATAGCCTCGGCCGCAGCATTGTTCACCTATGGTCTCATCCCACAAATATTTGCATATGCAGCCAATTTCCCAATCCAAAAATTCCTTCAAGCACAGAGTATTGTGAATCCTAGTGCCTATATTTCAGCAGCCACATTGGCTGTACATATTTTACTGACATGGCTAGTGTTGTTCAAATTTGGGTGGGGATTATTGGGTGCTGCAATGGTATTGAGCTTTTCATGGTGGATCATAGTGGTGGCTCAATTTGTGTACATTTTGGTTAGTGAGCGATGCAAGCATACTTGGAGGGGATTTAGTGTGCTTGCATTTTCTGGACTATGGGATTTCTTGAAATTATCGACTGCATCAGCTGTGATGTTGTGTCTTGAGACTTGGTATTTTCAAATTTTGATTCTGATTGCTGGGTTGCTTCCAAATCCTGAAGTGACACTAGACTCTATCTCGATTTGGTATGGAAAATTGTTCCCTCTTCGTCTGAACAATATATAATATTAATGTTAAATTTACCTGATCTTAGATGATCCGTTTTATTTTTTCGGTAGGGTCAAAGCTAAACCTATGCTCGAGAGATAGTTGTCCAATGTAGATCCATTTTTTGTAATATCAATTGTATAGGCACATTTTTTTTGTTAACAATAAGCAACAGGAGAATGAAAGTGAAATGACTAAGGAATGGTTAGTCTAATAATCGCCACTCTCTTGAACTAATGTATGCATTTTGCATACAGGTTAGGTAGATGAGAAATAACATTCATCATTGAGGTGGGGACCTTAGGGCGGCTACTAGCTGCATCTACCAGTCAAATTTTATTCTGGATTTGTCTTTCCACCCCCTTCAATTTTTCATTTTCTTTCTTTTTTATTTTCTTCATGGCTCAAGCATAGTTTTAATCCTGAATGCGGAGTTATTATTTATGTGACTCAGAGGTCACAATAGAACAACATTCGCGGAGGTGCTAGACATTATGAAAGGGGTAAATTTATACAGATATACAAATACTATGAATCTACAAGAATTTGTGCTTATGATATAAAGGTATATCTCCTGCACTGAATCAGAAAAAAGGTATATCTACTGCACTGAAACAGTGGTTCTCTGACAAAATTTTTGACTTCTACAGCCAGACAATACTGGGATGGGTGTTCATGATAGCTGTTGGGTTCAATGCAGCGGCAAGGTTAGTCACTGATGAAGCCATTCACCCTTTCTTTCCCCTTAAACTCAGCTTTGCCTATTTTCAATTAGATTTACACTTAGTATGATTAGTAAAATGCTGCACAGAAGCTTATTTTTTAACTTCCTGGACAAGATTAGGTAGTTTGTTTCCTTGAATAGGTCTCTTGTGAGTTGTGATCATATTTCGGGAGACTTTCGGATATGTCTTGAACTATATTCTGTATAAAAAGAAAAATTGTCACGAAGATTTAAAACTAAAGTTTCTTTTTTTTATGGCAGTGTACGGATCAGCAATGAGCTTGGTGCGGGGCATCCCAAATCAGCTGCATTTGCCGTTGTGATAGTGACTTTGAGCTCTTTCATTATTGCAATGATTTGCGCCGTTGCTGTGCTTGCCTTGCGCCATGTCATGAGCTACGCTTTCACCGAAGGTGCAATTGTTGCCGAGGCAGTCTCGGAACTAACCCCCCTCTTGGCCATCTCTATAGTGCTAAATGGGATTCAACCTGTTTTGTCTGGTAAGTTTCTTCTACTTTGTTAAAAGTCCATACCCTAATATCTATTTTTCCATTCTAACCAAATTTAAGAGGGTTTTTTTGACCATTTGGTACCAAAAAGTTAGGCTTTCAATGACCACGTATAAAGATCGGTCTCAAATTTTTTTAATATTAATAAATTTGAAGTTGACCCTTTGAGTTATCACTTGATCTTATCTTATCACATTTGTTCACCAATTTATGTTTTGTATAGTACTGAAAAATTGAAGAAACAATTATCATATGTATTGAAACGTAGATTGTTTACCTTTATACCCTTTGACATACGTATATTCCATGGATTTTTTTAAATATTCATATATAAGTTAATTATGGATATTGATGATGCACAAAATAATCTTATGTCACAATCTAATCATTTTGGTCTGTTCATTACAAGTAGACAAACAGGTCAATTTAATCCTCTATGCTGATATATACTTACTTTTAGCTTGTTCTACTTGATTATATGTATATAATTAGTAATTGAATCAGAAGTTTGAGGTTTATGGTTTATTTATTTTTATTATATTAAAGTGTCTCCTTTTGATGTTAACCTTTTAAGAAATACATGCATCTTCTCCTTGTCTTGGAATTTTTTTTTTTAATGCTTTCTACACAGTGAACTGTATTGGAAGTGATTGAACAAGTGAGTCATAATTTATCTGATGCGTATTGTTTATCCATAATTGCAATCATTCCAAGTTCGAGTCCAAAAAACTTGTGTTTGGGGGGATTATTTATGCATTATTCAGAGAGAGGACTGCATTAATTTTGATATATGTATGCATATGTACTTATTGTTCAAAGTAGATGGATTGGGGTCCAAACCAGAAGTGACATGTGAAACAATCTGATTTGCTAAAGTTGGTGATTTATATTATAAGCTTTACTGGTTTTAATAAGCTTTGTCTTGTCTTGGACTCCTAATTGCACTTTTCTCAGGGACTGATCTCTATCACGAGGAGACAAACAAAACAATTCCAATCACTTGTTGACATACATGCATAGCTAAACAGGTCCAATTAAGATATCAAAAAAACTATTTTATCTTATATATACCTTATCTCAATTAATAAAAAAGACGTGTAGAACTGTATTACATAAATATATATTTTATTTATTTTGTTATATAAACTGTATTTTATAAATATTTTAACACATTAATGGTCACAAATAAAGTAAAATAAAATGTGTAACATCGAAAAAAATTGTTTATTACTATATTAAACAATTAAAATAATTACTACATTAAACCTTCATTTTTCCTGCTTTTGGTGGTGGGTTACCACCTTGCTTTTGTTTTAACTTTTTTCCACTTCTGAAGGTTTGGTTCTATATTCTCCTCCTTTATACCTTTTTCTTCTTTACTATATTAAACCTGACACTCACTGGCAGCCATGGCATGTGTTTGCTCTCTCTCTCTCTTTGCATGTGTGTAATGTTATGATTATGATTAATAATATAAGATTATATGAATGTGTTTGGAAAATGATTGAAGGAGTGGCTGTTGGGTGTGGATGGCAAGCATTTGTTGCATACGTGAACGTTGGATGCTATTATGTAGTTGGTATTCCATTGGGTTCTCTTCTTGGATTTAAATTCAACCTCGGTGCTAAGGTATCAAAATTTTCCCAATTATAGTGCACCCATTGATATTCATCGGAAACATACACATGGGCATCTTATAATGAATTTACCATCGATGTGTTTTAGGGAATATGGTCCGGGATGTTAGGAGGCACAATTATGCAGACCATAATCTTACTGTGGGTCACTTTTCGAACAAACTGGGATAAAGAGGTAAAGTTTCCTGAATAATGATCGTTATACCAAAATTTTTACTAAATATTATTTTCTAAACGAACACGAGTGATTGGATCAATGGATTTTAAAAAATTGAAGAGATTCATTGATCCAACATACCACAATGATTTATGGATAAATTATCTTCATTTCATTTTACACCCTCAACTATAGAATTTTTTATATTGCATCTTAAAGTGTTAATTTTATTTTATATCACTCCAATAAATAACGGCTATCAATTTTTTATCGGTAAATGTGCATGTGAGTGGTTTGTACTTCCTATTGCACATCTACAGGTCAAAAATCAAGAGAAATACTCATTCATGATTTTGCCCTTTCTAAACTCCAAAATTTCTTCCTTTGATTGACCTTCTTTTTCTCTCTAGCAACCATTTAGTTGCAAAAGAGGTCAAATAAAGTAGTACTAGACACTTGACAAAAAGCTCTTTGGGGTATTTTTCCCTCCTTTGACATATTTTCAAGTTTGTCGTTATCTATTAAAATGATATAAAATAAAATTAATACTTTAGGGTGTAATGTGAGAAATTTTATAGTTGAGAGTGTAAAGTGAAACAAAGATAATGATTCAGGGGTAAAACAAAATTTGATAACGAATTTAGTAAAAGTAGCATTATTCAGTTGCCTAGATACTTTAAAAATAGTGCTCTACTTCTACTGGTCATGGGCCCTTAGAAGCCTGTTGCAGAAAGTCCCTATGAATGCTATTCATTTTGTACTCTTAACAATGAATCATAGTTATGAAATGTATATTTGGATTTTCAGGTGGAGAATGCTAAGGAACGGTTGCAGAATTGGGAAAAGAAAAAAAATGAGTCTCTTTTGAATGAGTGAAAGACAGTGTTTGCATAGTTAGCTACTCAGTTACCCCTTAAACAACCTGATGAAGCCATGGTCAATCTCAGCTCTTCTAATGACTTTCTCTTTTAGGAAGCACAACACCCATCAGTTTTTCACCCCACAGGCGGTCCCGGTCACTCGGAAAATAAATGTGCCATCCATCCTGAGTTAGAACTTATTTGTTTTTTTAATTCCAAATTACATATGCCAAAGAGTGACTGTGTTTGAGGAGCACCGCAGAGTGTTATTACAAAATCCACAATATGTCAAAGAGCATATAAATTTGTTTATCCATATAAACATATGCCAGAGAAACAATTTGGCAAGCACACTTAAACTTGAAAGAGATAATGATAGTCATTGTTTTTACTAATCCAACCAGAAAAAAAACTGCAAATAAGACTATAAACAAAGAAGACGCGTTGGGACAAAAACCCACTCTTCGGGAGAATGGCCAAGGGTTTTTTTTATTAGTAATTGAATTTTATACTTTATAGATCAAAGAGAGAATAAAGGTGCATATATCTATGTCATATATACCGATGTACGTACCAAAAAAAAAAAAAGAAACAAAAGTTATTATGACAACCTAAGCAAGTACCGGAACTAATCAGCACAACAAACGGAAGAATGATCCCAAAATGGTGAGACTTCACCTTGCTTGGGGAGCAAAAGATGATTTAGATAAGTCAATAATCTGTGCAAAACTTGTACCAATATCATTGCAGCAGATCTGGTTGTTTCAGAGTGTATTCTATAAACCCTTAAAGACTAACTTAAATGGTAATAGAGATAAACTGTAAATTTTGACATCTTAAATTCGAATATTAACTATCTTTTTTCCTTAAATTCGAATCTTGACTACCATTTTTCCTGTAGTGTAAACAAGGATTGCTATCAAAAAAAAAAAAAAACTAAAGTAAGAATCAGATCAAATATTTTATCTATTAGACTTGTAGCAATTAAAGGTACAGCTACAAGTAATGACGAAAATGAATCTAAAAGCACTTTCTCATACAATTCGCCATTTTCAACCTGGTGTAGCACATCTAAATTACTTTTCCTAATATGCATATTAGCAGCTAAATTAAGCCAACTCCAGTGCTAAAGTAGTTTAAATGATATAGACCCTTTAAATGGTATATCATCCACATTATATGAGTCATAATGATAAATAATCAACCATTAAGATAAAGTATAATGGAGAGCATATCAATTATGTTGGAATTTGACTCAAATTATCTAATTGTCATGAGTCTCTTGGGTAATCATCGTAAGAGTTCTAATAAACCATAGATAGATTTATTAGTGACCTAATTAGACATGTGATAAGAAACATAAAAATTAAGTTACATTTGAATATGTTTGGTTTACAGTATTTTATCGCTATAAATAGGGTTGAATATTATGTAATCCATTACCAGATAATCAGTTTTTCAATAAATAATACATCGATGTAGGTTTTTGACCTGTAGATGTAGGTACAATGTACTAATGTGGATATGTTGTATCAAATCACGTTATATCTTTATATCATATTTTTATTGTTTTTCTATCTTTAAATTCATATCTTTTAACAAGTATTATTTGTGTTAATTATCCGTTGTGTAAAACAAATAAATTCTCCCAAATTGGGCAGCTCAAGGAGCTGAATGTACACACACACTTGTAATGTGACATTGATAATGTGCAATCCCAACACCTTATTGGGCCAAAGTAAATATATTGGGTTAAAGTAAATCTTGAGTGCACCAACTCACTTCAACTCATTTAAACCAATCTAAATTTAGGCAAAAGTGTCGTGGGGATTTAAACCATCGACCTTGAAATTATACCTTAAAAGAGAGCATATTATGAGTTGAAGTTGGCAAAATTTATGGCAACAGGCATTGTATATAGGCTCTAGGATTTTCGCTATCTAAATGTTCTTCATTTTCCTTCTTGTAGATGCGCTCTTTAGAAAAGACGAAATCATAACCACAAGTGGTTGATATAAATCCATAAATTTTATTTTATTTTTCCTTTATTTTTGTGTGATCAAACAATAACACCTAATAGTCTCTCAACTGCCGGTAGTAGCCATGGCCAAGTTGTTTGATTTCTCTCTCACACGTGATATATCACAGGATATGGAGAAATCTCGATAATAATTTTGGGTGAGTAGCACACACCAAGTGGAATGGTCCATGTTGGTGCGTGTACTCAATGAGGTGTTGCCATCTAGTTTATTGTATGACAATTTAACGTGGCTGAGGGAGACAACAGCCAACGTTAACAACTCTTAGAGTGGTTCAATGGTTAGACTTATTCTTTGATATCTGAAGTTCAATTTATTTTTATACTCTTTAAAGGGTAGTCATACTTATCTCTTTGGGGATATGTTCTAGACCAACTCAAATTATACTAGTCAGTCGCTAAGTTCAAGGAAATAGTTGGCTCAATCTTGAACTCCCTCTAATAAAAAATAAAAAGGGCCAACATTACCGATATGCAGGGTCCTAGAAGAAGAAAAGTCAATTTTGATAATTATAATAGATAAATAGGATATATGCATATATTAAAATATATTGTTAAACAACCATGTATTTATATTCAACACACTCTCTCATGTGCATACTAAATTTTAGACTTACTAGAGAAAATCTTTTAATAATTAAGGTAGTGACGAGATTTGAACATAGAACCTTATACTCTAATACTATGTTAACGACTATATATTTTAAAAGTTTAAACGGTTGGAAATTGTGTAATTAAAGTATTTATATTTCAACAGATATAAATATAAATCGATAATGTAAAATAGAACATACTTTAATAAATTCATCGGACGGTCTCAAATTAGACTCATCCAATAGTCATTAATATCTCTCTCACAACTATTCACATTGTATCGTGTCTTTAGTCATAAATTACCCTAATAATGTATATTTCAACACATATAATTAACTTTTATTTTATTTTATTAAATATAACATTTTATCTATTTTTTTAACTTTTGAATCATTTCTAGTTTATATTCTTCCATCATTTCTTCTTCAATCATTTCTATTTCATATTCTTCGATCGTACTAAACAACATAATACCAAACAAAACAGAAGAGGCACGGATGATTAAGTGGTCCAATATTTCTTTGACATAGACAATGCACTTATCAAGAAGGGCTGGCCAACCATTCAGTGGCAATAGCATGTAGTTTCTTCTCTATTATTCAGCAAAGGCTGCTGCTCTCTTGTCTACCATTTAATCAAAAAGGTTCTTTTGCCTTGAATCAATGACCAAACTACCCTAATTGTTTTTCATTTTTTTCTTTTTCCTTGCAACATCATCGTTTTAGACCTGACCAACATGATTTTACATAAAAATGTACGAGGATTTGGTGAGAAAAGTTTCAGTACTTGTCAAGTATATCACTTATAAAATATTATACATATTTTTGCTTTTATGACAAAGCTCACGCTTTTATGAGAGCTATACTGTAATTTGAGAAACAAGATATAAACCACATTGCATGGGTTATAAAGTTTCAAAATTATCGCAACTAGTAAAAATATTTTTTTTTTCTCTGGCCACCTAAAATTCCAAATCTAGAACTTTCACGGATGTGCCTGGCTACACATTTTGTCATTACAAAATGATCATCTAATTTGCAACATATATTCCTCTTGTGTACTAGTTGTAAGGAGTTCTCGACGGTATGAAAAAAAATTAGTATTGTACCGACATTTATCACTTTTATAGGTATTTTTATAATAGTTGTGTGTTCTTATACCATTTGTGAGTATTTTTATTACTTTTGTAGTGATTATTTTTTACACTTTTGTGGTATCTTTAGATCGATCAAAAATTTTATTATCAATCATAATTGCCACAAAAATAATAAAACAATCGCTTGATCATATTATTATGTTAACAAATTATGTCCAAATAGCTTTTACTTTTTTTTGGGTGTGTGTGTGGGAGGGGGGGGGGGGGTGGTTAGGGTACTTGTGAAATGAAGCATATATACAGCGAACACATGCTGTGCAAGTGAAGGGTAAGAGCCACTGAAGCAAGGATGGAATGGACTACTCTCAAAATGTTGGCATCGACCAACCCATATTACAGACCAAACCGGAGGAGCCAAACTCCGAGCTCGAAGAGGTACTATCCGACACAAGTTTATCGTACTTTTGGCGTCTCCGACGAGCCGGGAGCTTAGAACTGGGTACCCTCTTCCGACTTGCAGCTCCGGCAGTCATTGTTTACTTGCTCAACTGTTTTACCTCCATGTCCACCCAGATCTTCTGTGGCCATCTCGTCAATCTTCAACTTGCCGCTTCAGCTCTTGGCAACAATGGTGTCCAAGCTTTTGCCTATGGCGTCATGGTATTAACCAATATCAAAATAGGTGTTAGTAATTATAAGTGTGCGTACTTAAGTAGATATACAAATATTTGTTAGCATATACCTATAGTTGCATATTCTATATATAATCAAGGGAGAGGTATTAAATCTCCTTTTTCATTTCAAGAACTCGTTTACATGGTGTGAAGTCGCTTTTCATTTAGTATGTCGGGAGTGGTCTGTCGTCCTACTCATTATAGTTGTCCCAGAATCAATAACATTTCATCGGGAATACCAACTTCCAACTACCAGAAATTTGCTTTTATCGTCTTTTGAATCTTCTGTACATGTCCTAATGATATATCAGTTGAAATAGATTCTTCATTTTAAACAATCAAAACTCCTTCTGAAACTGCCGACCTATAAACTTGCAAATATATATTCATATGTAATAAACACAACCAATTGATGTCACTGTGATGTTTTCTACTTGCAGCTTGGAGTGGGAAGTGCAGTTGAGACATTGTGTGGCCAAGCATATGGAGCACATAAATATGAAATGCTAGGAATATACCTTCAAAGATTAACAGTCCTCCTCATGACAACTGGGTTAATCCTTACGATCCTCTACATATTCTCCAAGCCCTTCTTGATCTTACTAGGCCAATCACCCTCAATCGCCTCGGCCCTTTCATTGTTCACCTATGGTCTCATCCCACAAATATTTGCATATGCAGCCAATTTCCCCATCCAAAAATTCCTTCAAGCACAGAGTATTGTGAACCCCAGTGCCTATATTGCAGCAGCCACATTGGTTGTACACATTTTATTGACATGGCTTGTGTTGTTCAAATTTGGGTGGGGATTATTGTATGCAGTACTGGTATTGAGCTGATCATGGTTTATCATTGTGGTGGCACAATTTGTGTACATTTTGGTTAGTGATAGGTGCAAGCATACTTGGAGGGGATTTTGTATCCTTCCATTTTCTGGACTATGGGATTTCTTAAAATTATAGGCTTCCTCGGCTGTAATGTTGTGTTTGGAGAGTTGGTACTTTCAAATATTAGTTTTGATTGCTGGTTTGCTTCCAAATCCTGAAGTGGCATTAGACTCCCTTGTGATTTGGTATGAGAAAATGTTCTCTCTTGATCTTAACAATACATAATATTAATGTTGTATAACATTTACATCATGTTAGATGATCCATTTTATTTTTTCATTAGGGTCGAACCTAACCTATGCTCGAGAGATAGTTGTCCAATGTAAACACATTCTCAGTAATATCAATTGTAGAGGGACATTATCTTTGTTAACAATAAGCATCAGGAGAATGGAAGTGAAATGACTAAGTAATTGTTAGTCGAATAATCCCTACTCTCTTGGACTAAAGTATGCATAAATCATTGAGGTTGGTAGGGACCTTGGGGGCCTAGCTAGCTTCAATAACAGTAAAATTTGGTTCTGGGTCGTTTGTTTTTCCACATTTTCTCTCATTTATATTACTAATTATGGTACATAAAAAAAAAAGTGGCTAAAGCACGACACTCCCGCTACTATAAGTTTGGGAAGAGTCAAATTTACATAATCTTATTCCCATATGTGGAGAGCTGATTTTCATGACTCGAACCGGTAACACTTAGTTCACAATTAAACAACAGTCACCTAGGTGCTATACATTTGTGCTTATGATGTACATGTATATCTATTGCACTGATACAGTAGTTGTCTGAGAAAATTTATGTTTTCCACAGCCAAACAATACTTGGATGGGTGTTCATGGTAGCTGTTGGGTTCAATGCAGCTGCAAGGTCAGTCACTGAATCCTTTCACTGCAAGGTCATTTCTTTCACAATTTTTATGGAAGACAAGAGGTAGGAGAGGGAAGGTGCTTGAACTATCAATATGGACAGATGGCATGAGTGGGATAGTAATGTGTTGGAAAACGTTAATGTGTACACAATAACTCTGTTTTTTTCGGCTACAGCCCAAATTATGCATATAAAGTCCAAATACTAAACTCAACTACTGCACTAGCCCAAATTATGCGTATAAACTTTGTGATAGTAACGTGTTGGAAAACGCATTAGCTTTTGGATTCTTTCAAAGATTTTTTGAGGTGATTGTAGGGGCAGCTTTTTTATGGCTGTTTATTTGCTTTTTCTAGCAATCGATGGCACCAAAATGGTCACTGGACCCAACATGGGCTATTTTCGTTGGTTTTGTTCAAAATTGAGTGTCGCCATGTCTTTGGAAGTTCGAGACTTCCAGGGGTGTTTTTTAATCCAAGAATGGGATGCAATGGCGTTATCTGGATATGTCAAATGGATGGGTTGAGTTAGTTATGAATTGCTTGGTTTAAGATGGATTTGATGTAAAATAAATCTAATTTATTTTCAACCGCTTAATACACGAATTATAGTGGGTTAGATCATAACGAATTGAATTAAACTTATTAACCCGTAAAATAATTAAAACTCTTAGTATAAACACATACTAATACACATCAGAAATACACACATTTACTAACACACAAAAAACACAATCACATTTATTTATTACTTGTGTCATGGGTAGGGGTGTGGGTAGTGGGTTGGGGCGTGGGTCAAGGGTCAGAGGTCGGGTGTATTAGTGTGTGTGTGTTTTGGTGTCTTGTGTTAATTAATATAAATATAAATATTCAACTTAATGGGTACCCATTTATAATTCATCGTAATCTGTTAAATTAAAATGAATCTTATTACCTGACTCATTTAAAACTCGTATTAATCAATATAATGACACAACCCATTTATTTTTAGGTGGGTTAACGGACAATGAGTTAAGATTGTCACCTCTAGTTTTAACCGTGGACAAAAAAAATATATTTTATTTATTTTGTCATATAAACTGTAGTATATAACTGCATTGAAAAATTATTGGTCACAAATAAACTAAAGCCTATGATAAAAAATAATGTTAAAACATCGAAAAATATTTTTGTAGTACTATATTCTTGTAATTCATAGTTAAACAAACAGCCATGGCATGTATTAGTTCTCTCTCTCTTTCTCTCTCTAATGCTATGATTATGATTAGCAATATAATATTATATGAATGTGTTTGGGAAATGATTGAAGGAGTGACGGTTGGGTGTGGATGACAAACATTTGTTGCATACGTGAATGTTGGACGTTATTACGTGGTTGGTATTTCATTGGGTTCTCTTCTTGGAGTTAAACTCAACCTTGGTGTAAAGGTATCAACCTTTTCCCTTCACCATCTGACACAGTCTTTAGCACATTACCATGTATTTCATTAGTTATAGTGCAAGAGAGTTAAACTCAACCTTGGTGCGAAGGTATCAACTTTTTCCCTTCACCATTTGACACAGTCTTTAGCACATTACCATGTATTTCATTAGTTATAGTGCACCTTTGCTCGTCATAGCACACGTGCTTGCACATACACTCATACATTGGCACACATATATTGTAAGATGTCCATGTTAGTTTAACATGGTATTTGTCTGAAAAGAATGTAGGTAATAGATTTGCTCCTCTTTTTTTTTTTTTAGGGAATATGGTCCGAGATGTTAGCAGGCACAGTTATGCAAACCATCATCTTACTATGGATCACTTTCGGACCAATTGGAATAAAGAGGAAAAATTTACGGTATTAAAATACAAAAGTTATTCACCAACACAACAAACCACATTGAGTCGGTTAGTAAAATTTTGGTAAGGGGTTGGGTAAGAGTACCATTGTTCAACTTTGAAAAATAATGCTCTACTTCTAGTAATCAGGGGCTTCGAAAACCTTTATTATAGCCTTTTTAATCAAGTCCCCATGAATCCCACTAAACCTATAAAGACATGTTTGTTCATGCCATGGATGTACCATCATACAAGAATGGGCCCATTGGGTTACAAGCTTGGGTCTTGCTGCATTAGTCAGTACAAGATTTTCGTACTCTAGGCACGTGATTTCGGTATAAAGTTGTCATAGTTATAGGTCTTTCGGGCCCCGCAAACAATTGTCTTTCCCTAATTTCATATTTAACTTTTCGGGAGTAGACTGTGGTACATCCGAGGAAATTTTCGGCACCATACCGAAATTTTCAATTTTATGAAAATAATTATAACTTCAATTTATTAAATTTATGGGATTATTTATAACTTCAATGAGTTATCTATTAGATATAGATTGATAGAAAAGACAAGAAATTAAAATGACATGTTAGATAATATATCATGATTACTAGTAATTTTATTAGCATAATTTAGGGAATATTTACAACTTTAGTTGTATATTTACCAAATTTGTGAGAATATTTACAACTTCAGTGATATATTTATCAAATTTGTGGGAATATTTATAACCTCAGTGGTATATTTACTAAATTTGTGGGATATACCATAAATTTAGTAAACATACCACTGAGGTTATACATATTCTCATAAATTTAATAAATATACTACTGAAATTATAAATATTCTCACAAATTTGATAAATATACCACTGAAGTTATAAATATTCTCTTCATATGGTAACAAAATTACTAGTAATCATGATGTAATATCTGACATGTCATTTCAATGTCTTGTTTTGTCAAACAACCGACATCTAATAGATAACTCATTGAAGTTGTAAATAATCTCATAAATTTAGTAAACATACCACTGAAATTATAATTATTTCTACAAATTTGGTAAATAATCCACTAAAATTGTACATATTCTCATAAATAATCCATTGAATTTGTAAATATTTCCATAAAAGTGGTAATTGATCTATTGAAGTTATATATCTTCTTGGATTCGTTATAAAATATTCATAAATTAAGCACTCATATATGTGTATTGATTGATCGATCGATCATGGACTATTAACTATCGTAAAAAATATCATTAAATTAGTAAATATTCTCATAAATATCGTTAAGAATCGATTGAAGTTGTAAACAATCTCATAAATTTAGTAAACATATCATTGAGGTCGTAAATATTTTCACAAATTTGGTAAATATACCATTGAAGTTATAAATATTCTCTCATTATGGTAAAAAAATTACTAGTAATCATGATGTACTATCTGACATGTCATTTCAACGTCTTGCCTTATCTACCGATCGGTATCTAATAGGTAACTCATTGAACTTGTAAATAATCCAATAAATTTAATAAGCATATCACTGAAGTTATAAACATTCCAGATGTACCGTAGTCTACTCTAACTTCTCCTAAGTAAAATAGGTGCCCCGACAATTAGTTGCTAAGAATTGTCTGCTGAGTCCGCTGTCTTTGATTCTTTCAAGTTTATGTTATCTAAAAGACTAGTGATCAACCTTTGCTAAAGGCAAATCTTAAGTTTTTATGTCCGTATGTACTCCTTTTTTGGCGCGGAAGAAATCTCTTTATTTGTAAGAATAAGACTGCGTACGTTTAACTCTTCACAAACTCCGTAATGACAAAGTCTCATTACGCCCTTTAGTAAACTATCTTTCGGGTTTCTCATCACATCTAGGTGTGTCCATGGGCCGAAATTGTCCACGGGTCTCATTATTAGGCCCAAAAAAAATATACCCAAAATTCGATAATTGGCTCGTCCGAACTCGAGCCCAATATCTTTCAATAGAGGGCTTGGGTCTATCCCAAATCCATTATTAGGCCCGAAATCTAGCCCAATAGCCCGCCCGCAAAAAGTTTGTTAAAACCCAGTCCTAGAACCTGCCCGCTCAAGCTAGCCCATGGGCCCCATCCACCCGTTTAGGTCAAAACATGCAAATAAGTCCACCAATGCTAGAATTTGAAGTTTTAGAAATTTAAATATTATAAATAATATATTATTTTATTTTTCATGTATTAAACATATACGTTTTAAAAGGTAGTCAGCCTAGTTGGAATGTATTCATTATATTGTGATGCAATTCCTTCCTTATTTATAAATAAAATTATTTATTATTTATTTTTTGTCCATTTTAACTTTACTTTTAATTTAAAAATATAATTTATAAAAATATTCATTATTTCTAAATAAAGTTGTATATAAAAAAGTTGTTCAATAGGCCTGTCTACATGCCCTTCCAATAGGGCCATAGGCCCATGCTAACCAGCCTATAGGCCCATACCAGCCCACCCCCACCCCCAAAAAAAAAAAAAAAATGAGTGTGGCGGGTTTGGTTGTGACTAGCCTACCTCTACCTAAAGATCGGTCTAACCCGTTCGATAATTCACCCGAATAAGGGTTTGAGCCAACCCTACTAAGGCCCGGTTCCAAAAAAAATTTCGTAGGCCAAACCCAACCCAGCCTTGGACACCCATACTCAGGGGCAAAGCCGAAAATTTGGGATAATGGGGACAAAAATTTTAGCAACAATAATATTATATGTACCAAATTAGAAAAGCTAATGCATTATTACCGTTGGATTAGCAAATAAAATGCATTTAATGTTGATACCCTATGCTAATTCAACAATAACAATGTGTTATACTATCAAATTAGGCCTTTCAATTATACGTTAGTAACATTTTTTTAATAAAAGTAAAATTTAAAATTTTGAAATAATAATAAATTAAATGAGGTGGTCCAATGTGTGGCTTCTGCTATTGCAAGGTCTTGAGATTTTATGAATTAAAATATAATTTACGTTCCCTGTATTATTATCTATGTTTTATATTAAGTCCAATGAACCTAAGGATGGTTGTTGAGTTTGATAAAATCAACGATGCAAGTGTCTTGACTCTTGAGTCTTGCTTATATTTGTTTGAGAAAATAATCCACAAGAAGCCACCAGTAGGCATGTGTAGCTCCGTGCTTTTGGACAAGTTCACGAAACAAGAGCAGTACATCTCTTTAAATTTTTTGAACCCAGGTACTTGATTGTGCTAATTATTGGGTTTTTTTTCGTTTTGTTTTTCTTCTTCTTCTTCTTTTTTTTTTTTTATGATGGCTAATCAGTTAATCATTTTTTAATCAAGTTGGTGATGCTCCCACTATCACTAGACTAATGCTTTGTTAGGTATGGTGGAAAATTGAATTATGAAAAGTTGGTGGATTAACTTTTTTTTTAACTCATTAAAATTAATCCCTCTAAAATTAAGAGAAAAAGTGGACAAAAGGTTAATTACGTGTGTTGAAATATATATGTTA